CAGTCATTTTTTGTTCTATTAAACCACTATATAGATAAAATCAACTTTACAGAAGTATGGAAGTAAAAAAGTACTTTTGTTAAAGATTTGCAAGTAATTGTCTTAATTATTTACATCAATAAGCATATACTATGTAAGTTTATTCACCAGTGAAGTAGCACATTTGAGCCATTCCCAGAATTGAGAACGTAATCATATACTGCCTCTTACTGTTTCACAGGAGAACTGATTGTTCTGGGATAATGTAAGCTAAAATTATTTAAAGAATAGAATTATGTTTCTGTTTAATTTATATCTTTAGCTGTCTTTACACTTTATAAAATGATTTTGTTCTGCTAATTTTAGTTGTGAGAGTGGCATTTTAGTTTTAGGTTTTGACTAGCCTGCGACGTTGGTCAAGAATTTGCCCAAATCTATAAAAACAAAAAAACTAGACCTATCTTTTAGTTTAGACCTAGTACTCTTTCCATTTATATCTCATTGTTTCCTCTTCCTGACATTTTTATAAATGTTACTGATAACTAAGCATTTTCACTTATTTATTTTATAGTTCCAATATGTAAGAGACTCTATAGCCACTATGTAAAAGCTATCTAAATAAAGCCATTTGAAAGAAAACTTATGGTGGAGAAAAAATTATGTTATGGAAAAGACATCCTTTTATTTTAGAGGCTACTTGGAAAATGGTATCATACTAGATTTGTATGAAACATTTTCAGGAAAACATTGCATAATTTTATTTAGCTAAGTAGATATTATCTAAATGAGGTTCCTGGGATTTACATAGAATGAACAGCAACTTAGAACAAGCAGCAAGGAAGACAATGCTTTTTTTTTATAGTAACAGTACAAGTATGTTAACAAAGTGCAAAGGATCAGCTAAGGCTCACAAGTCATTTCCAGTTCTTGATGGCTGGTTTATTCACCACTACTGCTGATAGCACTTCTAAGGGTAGAAGTCATTTACTCAGCACTCCTTTTGCCAAGTCGGTACCAAAAATAATACAATAGTAAGTGGAATACCACTAAAACTTTATCTGTATTAATAAAATTTCAAAAATACAGAAATATATCCAAAGTTATTATCACTAGGGAAAAACAGATTCTATTTAATGGTACAGATTCTATTTCATTTATCTCCAGGAGGCAACATAATTAAACAAACGGATAAAACGTTATCATCTCCAAAAAAAAAAAAAATGAAACAAGAACAAAATTTAAGTAATTTTTTTTGAGGAGGGTTGTTAAGTATGGAACAACATTTTAAGGAAAGTTATAGTAGAATCTATGCCTAAGGTTATCATGAAAATGTCTTCCTGAAGGTAGGGAGGAACATGGATCAGATGCAAGGCTGCTTCAGATCCTTTAATTTCCTAACTTTCATTACTCAGAAAAGAAAGGAAACATTTACTGAGCATCTACTATGTACAACATATTTCAGAGGGATTAAAATAAACACATCTAGGATGCATTTCCTACAATAAAGATAAATTTCAATTGCCACTAGAGGGAGGTATCTTGTTTAATTAATTCAATTGAAGATTGGAAGAGCTTCAGGTTAAAATTGTCACATATTTAATTCCAAATTTTTATGGAATTGTATATTTAAATGGGCATCTTATCATTTCTATATGTATGCTATAACATCTTTTCTCTTTAAGTAAATTAAAATGGCTTTCACTTAAAGGATCAAAGTTAAATCTTAATAGCATTTTCAGCTCAAACAAGATGTATTTTTCTGACAATGTTACATATTTTTAACTTCATTAGCTACAAACTATTAATTTAACTAAAAAAATATTAAACTTAATATTAGTTTTAATGGCTGCATTCCTAAAATGAACTTCGATAAACTGCATTATAAAGCTAACCATTTTTCATTCTGGTTAAAAATAATTTATAAACAATTTCACATGATTCTATAAATGTCAACACTAAGCTTTTCTTATGGAGCAATGCAGTGACATTTTAAGGCATTTATATGACTAGAAGTAATGCATGGTGCTCAGTAAAGACCTGACAAACATATACTAACTAAATAAAATAAGGGTAATGTGGAAATGCACTAGCCAACACTGTATTACAAGAGACCATCAATACAAATATAGTAAAGTCTTAGGACGTATATTAAAATATTAAGATAAAGTAGAAGGTTCATCTTACATAAATAAAAGGAAAATGTAATGTTTAAAAGGAAAATCATTAATAAAAGGTTAATTAAAAGTCAGAATGTTAAACTTTATAATAAATACAAAAATAAGGCATCTGACTTTTTTAAAAAGTCATCTAGGTCCTTATGTAACACACTGACATGAACTCAGTAACTTAAAAATCCATTAGGGAGATCTTCAAGTATTATGGCTACACACATAAAGCCCATGATACATATAGTATAATTTATTACAATAGCTACATAAAACAGACATTTGCAATGCCTCTCAATTTTACCCAAGAACAAAGTCAAACTAGACAAATATATTTCCATATAAGAAATCACTCCAGCCCTAACTGGTTTGGCTCAGTGGATAGAGCATCGGCCTGAGGGCTGAAGGGTCCCAAGTTTGATTCTGGTCAAGGGCATGTACCTTGGTTGCAGGCACATCCCCAGTAGGGGGTGTGCAGGAGGCAGCTGATCAATGCTTCTCTCTCATCGATGTTTCTAACTCTCTATCCCACTCCCTTCCTCTCTGTAAAAAATCAATAAAATATATTTTTAAATGTTTAAAAAAAAAAAGAAATCACTCCACAAAATGCAAGTTAGTAAATCAATGTCACAGAACTGCCAAGAGAGAAAATTGCTGACTCGGCAGTATTCCTAATGTCAGACACACTTCAGGATAAGACTTTCAAGTTATAATCTCAATCTCTCTCTCTCTCTCTCTATATATATATATATATACTCTCTCTATATATATATACATATATACATATATGTGTGTGTGTGTGTATATATATATATATATCTTCTGTTAATGTCAAATCTAGATCTGAAGAACTATGATCTTCAGATTAAAATTCTGAAAGAAAAATAAAACTCCAGAATAATGAAACTTTTAACCAGTGGTTTTAAATATAAATCTTAAACTGTTTTTCTGATTTGAATTTGTGACCTAAATTAAGTTTTAAACAAAGTGCATAACATACTTCTAACTGGCTCTGAATCAACTTTGTGTTCTTAAAATTGTTTATGAAAATTTGAAAAATGTAAAGCAACGTTAACTCAGAGATAATAAGAATAAACACGCACATACAGCCAACTCACAAAAGTAAATCTGTCTCAAACATGGATTTATTTTTCTGAAAAAAAATTTTTTAAGTATTTGCCATCTCACACAAATATCCCACCAAAACAAACAAAAAAATCTGTTTGTAATCACTCTATTAGAATTGACAAAACTTTGGAGTAGGGGAAAGGGGATTAGAGAAAGTTACCAAGACTGAAAACGTCTGTTTCACTAATTCCCAGTTTCAAATCTGTTACTTTTACAGAACCTAAAACTACCGCAAAAGTGATAAACTCTCCAAAAAAAAAAAAAGCTCAAAAAATAATTCCCCCACTGTGCCTTGCCCACTACATTCACTCCTACCTGCTACCATCTCTATACATTTCACGGATAGGGTCATGCTGAGCGCTACAAAACTACTTTCAAACAGTAAGAGCCGGTGGCCAGAGCCCAGAAAGGACCTCGGAGGCACCCAGCTCCTCGCACAGGTGGCGCGCCTTTAGCTCCGCGCAACACCTCGCCCTGTCCTGCCACGAATGAGAATCAAGACCGTCCTCGACCCTGCCCTAAGAGGACATTAAAGAGTAGAAGGGGATTCCAGGCGGGTTTACGTTAGCTAATCCACCAGCCCCACGGGCAGAGCAGAGCTGTCAACAAATTAGGACCACAGGAGAGAAAGCAGCTGCAAGTGGGTGGGGGTGTGCGCGGGTGCCTGCGACCTGGGGACCGGGGCCGCTCTGCAAATGCCACGATTAAAAAGGGCAAAACCCCAGGCCTGAGTGTCTCCCCCAAGCCCCGAATCTCGATTCCACTGGGTCAGGAATGGACCTAATCCCCGCACCGCCCG